TTGACACAACAATATCTTAAACCTATTCCTTCTAGTTACTTTATAAAGAAAAATCCAAGCATCCAGGGTTTAGCACTAAAGCCAGTAATGTATTTCTGCCTAACTTGCCAGTGTAAACATGGAGATGGGGGCTAATAGTAGATGCTGAGTGTATGAAAAATGGCCAAGCTCCATTCGTAGCTGATTACCAACAGCTGTGCCCACAGAAGATGTGTTAGACTTCCAGACTGTGGACACACTTAAGTTGTTTATAAAAGATACAAAACAAACAGCTGGCTGGTTCCCATTCCGTTGGATATAGTTTTACCTGTTACTTTCAGAATGTTGTTGTATTAGATTTGCTGATATGTTACTTTTCTGAGTTTTTTAAATACATATTTCCTTCTGTGTACCAAAAAAAAAATTCATATGAGTTTCAGGATGTGACCTGGATCTGGCATAGCTCAAAAGGATTGCAGATGAGATTTTCCCTGGTCCTTCCCATTCAATAGACAAATTTTAACTTCTGTCTCCAGTCTGAATTTGTCTCATCAGATTTTCACCTGTTTGACTCTGTTCTGGGATCAGCTATGGACTGCAAGCTAATCTGGACTTCCTGGAAACTGACATGATTGCTCCCTGCCTCTTCGGGTGGATCAAATAACCAGATGCTTGGGACTGCCCTATTGCCCAGCCTTTGACAGGCATTTCAGTGTCGCTAGCTTCTGATGCTAACAGTCCAATGGTTAGCACTGAAGAAGCTCCAGAAGATGAATCTTTGCCCATATCCCACCTAGCAGGTTGAGATGCTAAGTCAAAAGGGGCTGGCTCCCTGGCATTAGCTATTATCTTGGGCATCTGCTTAGATAAAATGGAAACTAATATTGCAGCAACTGGACTAAAAGCCTAGAGAGACCCTAGAGAGAAAGGATAATAGTTCTCCTTGGCTTACTACCCCTATATCCACCCCTACTCATTTTGATTTTTATCTTTGGGCCTTGTATTTTCAATTGCTTAATGGCTTTCATAAAGAAATGCTTGAGAGCAATATAGCTAATGGTACTCAGATCCCATTGTAAAAAGGTAAATCTACAAAATACAAGGGGTCATATCTGGAAGACCCAAGATTGGGTCTTCAAATGATCATGGGAAAGGGGGAAATGAGAGACCAAAAGATTAAAAATCAGCTATTATTAATTAAGGCCTGAACTAGGTGGGTGGAGAGGTCCAGTAATGCCCTGAGGGGAAGGACCGCCTTACTGCATTCCTTTCCCACTAACTAGAGATACAGTTGCTAGGAAACTGGCCCATCCCCCTAGGGAGGAACACCAGGTCATTAATGGTCTGGGGACCTTCCTATAGCAAGTCAATTAAAAATGTAGCATTTTGACCAATAGATGCTTGCCAGGCAGGGATCACCCCTGCCTTGGGCATGCTGGGATAGACGAGAATCTTTAAATCACCCAACTAACCTGAGCACAGGGCTCTCAGCTCCCACCGCTTTGGCAGTGGGTGTGTGTGTGTGTGTGAGCCCAAGTTGCACCTTGTAATTTGTAATAAAAAGAAGCTCATGTATTTACAGCAGAGTCTAGTTATTCCTGGTATTTTGGGGTTCGTGAACTGGCCAGAACAGCATATGCCTTTAAGCCTAGCAGGCAGAAGTAGGATCTAGGTGAGTTCAAGGCCACCCTGATCTACAAAGCAAGTCCAGGACAGCCAGGGCTATACAGAGAACCCTGTCTTAAAAAAGCTATACAAACAAACAAACAGATAAATGTAGGACTAGGGAGTTGACTCAGCATTAACAGCACTGGCTGCTCTTATAGAGTACTCGGGATGGATGCCCAGCACTCATATGGTGGCTTCACACTGCATGTAACTTGAATTCCAAGGGATCCACCATCCTATTCTGGCCTCTGCTGGCACATGGTGCATAGACATACATGAAAGCAAAACACTCATACATAAAAATAAATAAAACTAAAAAAAAATAGAAATTTTCAAAATGCAGTAAGTGTTAAATTTTAAAACACTAAAATCTAAAAAATGAAAGGGAGCTCTGTTTTAAAAGAGGGGTAGGAGGCTAGAGAAATGCTTCAGTTTAGACCACATACTGCAGCCCGGAACAGTGACACACACCTGTAATCTCAGCACTCTGGGAGGCAGAAGCAGGCAGATCTCTGTGAGTTCAAAGCCAGCCTGGTTCACAAAGTGAGTCCAGGACAGCCAGGACTATACAAAGAAACCCTGTCTCGAAAAAACAAACAAAAACAAAATGAAAGAGCACATACTGCTCTTGCAGAGTGCCTGAGTTTTGTTCCCAGTACTCTTGTTAGGCATTTTCAGAACTGTCTGTAACTCCAGCTCTAGGGAATCCATCCAGGTGATGCCCTCTTCTGACTTCTTCAGGTACCTGTAGTCACATTCATAAGCCGACACATAGATACATACATATACACATAATTAAAAACAAATAAAAGGGGAGAGATATTTTGGCTGGAAATCAGACAAAGGTTGCAATCTGAAGGTTCAAACGGAGAAGTTGCGTCTCAGGACTGGTGAAGATTAGGCATCACAAATTCTCCAGGCAAACTGGAGGGCTTTCTTTTCTTCCTCCCTCCTCTGCACTCCCCATTCCAGGCATAGCTCACATTCCTGCCATATCCTTCCTTTATCTTTATGCCTGCACTTATTCACCCAGTCCTACCCTTGTCACTCAATCCCCCAGAGTTGAGGACATGATCTTCTAGATGTGCTGCCAGATATATCTGGAGAATTAAGTCCACACAAAACCAGCTAGCTGATCCCATGGAGAAGGGGACTGCATTTGAATAGATGCTTCTTTGTGATTGGGTGGGCATGTTGGGCTCCATCAGTCACACACACTAGCTGTAATTCAAGATTCAGCAGGATATCTAGCAAATGACACCCATGTCCAATTGGGATTCTGACTTTGAAGATCACCTGTATGAACAGAAAAACATGCTCGTGGATCAGAGCAGGAAACCAGGACCTTCACAAAGCAGGAAAAGAAGCAGAGATTGGTACACAAAGCTTCTAGAGAAGAACTATTTTGTACCAGTTGTCTGGGAGAGCACAAGGAAATGACTCCCGCATTATTTTGCCTCCCCCATTGTAACCAGTTCCTGGAGTGGCCGTTCCCTGGCCTCACAGGGGCAGGAAGCTGGAGTGGAGCAAGTCAGCAATGTGAGTATTGCTAGATGTCTAGGCTGTGTGGAGACTCGGCTACCTCAGAAAAGCTCTCTCTATAGGGGACTGTATTATTGATGACAGGGGTATCTGCTCATTCCGTCACACCCTCACCTCACCCTGGGCCACACTGGATGCATTTCCAGAGTGGTGAGTAAGCAGTTCAGGATGCAAGACCAATCAAATCTAGGATCATCTACACTTTCACTTCTTTTTGAAACAGGTTCCCACTATTCAGCTTCAGTTGACCTCAGTGAGAACCTCCTGCCTCAATCTCTTAGGTGCTTGAGATTACTCAAATGTGCCCCATCGAGAACCATACTGTCATTTTCTTACAATTAGCAGTTCCTTCAGTCCAAGGCCTTTTTCAAGATCTCAAGCCCCATCTAATATTGTTTGAAACCTGTATGTTCCACACCAGAAGGAGCTACAGTGAACAGCTGTATTTAAGCTTTGCATCTATCTTAATGACCTTTCTCAGGATTGGATTTAAGGAGAAAACACTCCCCTGGCAGTCAAAGAAAGCAGGTAAGTACTGACAGGATCTCAAAGGACATGTGAAATTTAGCCAGCTATGATGGCCATGTTGGGTCCTTGTCCTGGTATTCACCAGGATACCTCTCCCCACCAGCCTCAGTCTCTCAGTGGCCACCTGAAGAAGCAGCTATACCCACTATTCTGGACACCAGCAGGCCCATTCAAAGGGAAGGCTAGAGAGGCTATGGAAGTCACACTCAGCCCCGGCTCATTCCAGCCAGGGAGGCCATACACACACTTAACCCAAGGCTCTAAGAAGTAAGACTTGCACCAGCAACCTGGGTGAGACTAAGTCTCTGTGAAAACTGGGCACTTTGTTACCTCTGCTTGTCTGCCTGGTTTTTCTATGATGGGGAGCCCACTCCATTCCTCACAGGCATGTATGTTAACTCTGAAAACTTGCTCTTGTTCTTGTCCTTGGAAAGTTTCTGGGGTTTCACATCCCAAGCATTAACTTTCTATCTGATAGGGCATCCTCGGAAGCCAAACTCTGCCCAGAACCTTCTAGATGCTGGCATCACCATCATCTGGCCTGCTGGAATGAATGCTTACCTCAAAATTAATTAAAAATGTCTTTGAGTAGCAGAGGACAAGATGGGAACCCAATAAGAAAAGAGCATAAAATCAGTGTGGAATGATGGAGTGAGAGGGCTCGCACATCACTTCTAAATGTCACGAATGTTTGATTCCTCACACCCTCATTTATTTATTTACTTATCTATCTATCTATCTATCTATCTATCTATCTATCTATCTATCTAT